CTTCAACAAGCAAAATCGGATGAACAGATCACACCAAAAGGACCCCTTCTTACCAGAAGAAGCTGTCACTATTGCACTAAACTGTATGAGGCCAAAGAGCTTCTGAATCAGTGCGATGAGGCGGGTTTAAGCTGGGCCTCCTTAAGGGGGGTTTCCCTGGTGGCTCAGACCGTAAAGAAATCTGCTTGCAATGCAGGAGACCTGAGTTTGATCCCTGGGTCAGGAAGATCCCCTGGAGAAGAGAATGGCAACACACTCTAGTATTCTTGCCTAGAGAATTCCATAGACAGAGGAGCCTGGCGGGCTACAGTCCATGGGGTCACAAAGAGTTGGACACGACTGAAGGACTAAAATTTCCACCTTCACTTCCTTAAGAGGGGAGGTGCTTCATGATTTAACCTTCAGCAGCCTTCCTATCACGGAGACCAGGGCTTGGGGGCCTTGACGCCCCCAGGGGGACACTCCGCAAACAGAAGCCACTCCCCAGGCTGACTGGTAGGGCTTCTTTCCTTCCTGTGCTCAGCTTTCCAGGCAGGGACACCGTTTCCTGCCTCAACAAGACACCCGGGCTCCTTTCTGCTTCCAGCATCTCGAAGAGGACACGAGAGATGGAAAAGCACGTGGAGTGCAGTGACCCATCACCTCTGCCAGAAACAGCAGCTCGACTGAGTCCCCCTGACTCAAGGAAGTGTCCGTTTCCTGTCATCCTGGTGGCTAAAGGGGAAGCTCACGAGGGAGGCAGTCCTGAGGATCTTCAGACACGTGGATCCTCACCTGAAGCCACGATACTCCCTCTGCCCAGGGTGCCTCAGGCTGGAAGGCGTGGGGTGAAGGGTAGATGTGCCTGCAGATCTGGGCAGGGGCCAGCTCTCCGGGGCTGCCTCTGCCTGCATTAGACCACCACTCCCAGGGCACGCTCTGTCCTCGTGGGCACAGCCAGCATGCAGCATGGCAGGCTGCCTGGCTGTCTGGGAACAGGGCCATGGCCAAGACGTGTGTCTGGAGAAGAAACAAGCTCCACCAAGCAGCTCCTTGGCCCAGGTGTTCTTTGCGCTGAGGACAGGGCGGCAGGGAGCGTACAGTGGCTTTGCACTTGGACCGGACGGCTCTCTCTCCACCTAAATTGATTTGTCACTTCCCTCTGAGCACAGGAGGAGGGCGAGGATCCAGGAAGACTGTGCATCGCGGCATCAAGAGGCCGAGCTGTGAAGGCCGACCCGCTCCGCGGCCACCCTGCCTGTCCCGAGGTAGGAGGATGTCAGAGCAACACGGGGCGGCCTTGGCGGGCTGCGCGCTGCTTCCAGAGATGGAGCTTCATCTCCTCAAGGTGACCAGATGGAAGGACATGCCCCCCGCAGCACTGACTCTGCCAAGCCCCGGGTCCGAGAACTCAGGGTCGGAACCCGTCCGGCAATGCAAGGTTTTGGTATCTGGGCTGACATCACATTTTTTGCTGGGGCAATTGTCCCCTTTTCCTTCATCAGGGGCCAATCTACATACTAATTTCATACTCTCTGTCGTAACCAGAGATATGTACACTAGTAATTCACCACCGCTACCTAAACTAACTGGATAAAATGACAAAAGGTCATTTTCTTAAAAATAAAAATCCTGACAGAGATGAAGTTACTGTTCGGTCGCTAAGTTGTGTCTGACTCTTTGCAACCCCATGGACTGCAGCATGCCAGGCTTCCCTGAAGTCAGCTGTTCATTACTCATTAAGTGTTATTAATGAGTAAATACTATTTCCGATTTTGAGCACAGTCAGTCACCGTGCACAGGTCTAAGTGACTGGACGGCACGCTCCCCCGGGCAGAGGCTGACTTGGGAAGAGACGGGGAACACAGGACATCTACTCCCACAGAACTCCTCCTGCAGTAGTAGGTTCCTCTCAGGGGAGCTGGCTTCAGATCACAAAGGGAAAGCACTCTTGTTTAACTTTGATCAGGCTCAGTATTCAAGGAAAGTCGGAGGAAATCCTGAGAAGAGCGGCACACAGGGAACCACAAATTCCCTTCTGGGCACCAGCATGTATTTACTTTGTATCTTGGATGACTTATTTAACGCTTCCTTCTCCCTCAACCTCCCAATCTGGAAAATTAAGTCATTTTCACCCATTTTGTAAAAGAAAAAAAGGCATTTTGGCAGTCTGCTTCTGGGCCCAAACAATGGAGTCAGAAGCCGATGTGAGCCCCAGAGGAGCTGGCTTTGCGGTCTTCCTCCCATTACACCGCCGCTGATCTGTCCTGTCACTAACACACCTCAATGTCCATGGCCTCCCCACCCGACCGAGAACGCCTGAGAGACGAGACTGTTTCTGCTGCTGCTTTCACGTTTCCTTCCCTATGCCACTCGCTCCCAAAGTGGGCCGAAGTCACCCAGAGTGCTTGACTCCAAACATGGCACTTGCTGCTGCTTCTGACGACCAGGATGGAGAGGAAAGGATGCCAACCCCCATGTTTGGAAGGTGCTTTGCAGATTCAGAGCAAATGCATGTTCATCCGATCCTGACATTGACCAGGAAGGGGGAGTGGCCCCCACTCTCGGGATGAAAGTACAGATGCTTGGAGAAGTTCAACAACCTTCCTGCAAGCAACACACGCAGGACTTGTACACACTTATCTCATTCCACATGCACAAGCAAGAGACACAGGAGATGCGGGTTTGATCCCTGGGTAGGAAAGATCCCCTGGAGAAGGAAATGGCAATCCGCTCCAGTATTCTTGCCTGGAGAATTCCATGGACAGAGGAGCCTAGTGGGCTACAGTCCATGGGGTCGCACAGAGTCAGACAGGACTCAGCAACTAACACTTTCACTTTCTGTCATCTTTCCTCCAGCTCCACTGCTCATGTCCCAGGCTGCCCCAGGCCAGAGCCTGCTTCATCTTTAGTCCACTGAGGAGTCCTTCTCTTGTGCCATTTTGGTCAAGGTTAAATAAATATGGTTTTCTTCAACGTGGATCGGAAATTGATAATGAGATGATTTGTAGCAAATGATTAAATGGCCATCACTTGGGAAGCTCCTCCTTTCCCCCTTCCCACGTTTCAAAAGTTGAAAGGTGCTGGGTGAAGGTGGAGCGATGTCACTGCCTCCCAGAGAAAGAAGCTTCAGCCCCACACCCCTCACCCTCCAGCCACTCCGCAAACAGATGTCAGAGAGGATCCCTCTGCCTACTACCCAGTTACTCTGAAGAGATGATAACAGCCATTGGGGGGTTAAGAAGAGGCAGTGAACCCCCGGTTAATGAGGAGGAATTCAGCAGGCAGTGTAAGATAAATGGGGCTCTCTCTGCTTCTGCTGGAGTCAGCATGAACTGCGGCCCTGCGGCTTGTTTGTGGCAAATGGAGTGCGCGAAATATCAAAGGGCAGTGATCCAGAAGAAGACCGACTTTGACAAATTTTAAATTGGCCAGAAAGAAAACCAGCAAAAAAAAAAAAAGGAAAAAGAAAAAGGAAAAAAGAAAAAAAGAGAGAGAGAAAATTATGCAATTCTCGGTGTCCTGCAATTGTGGCATTGCTGCCTTTGTACGGAATGAGGGGTAAAAACTGCAGCAACGATTGCTGGACGCTGGGAGCAATTATGAGCATCTGAGCGAGATGCTTATCGGTGGCTGAAGCTTTTAGAGCTCTCTCTGTGTACAGTTGTGAGGAACTTGCACTTGAGCTGAAGTTACTTTAATTAAAGTGTATGGGGTTGGTCAGAAGTAATTATCCTGTTTGGAGAAGAGGGGGAAAAAAAAACACCTCAACAATTCTGGGTGGCAATAGATTTAGAAACAACTTGGCCAATTCCTTGTTGTCTGTGTGCATGTCCTTTAAAAGGATCAGGCTGTGCTCAGTGAGAGTTACTGGCAGTTGTTTCCTAATGGCAAACAATGGGACACGAACAGGGTTCATGGTAGCCCGGGTCACTGTGTACAGCAAACACTCTGGAAAGCCCCATGGACAGAGGAGCCTGGAGGGCTACCACCCGTGGGGTTGCACAGAGTCGGACGCAAGGCTCAGGGCTCCAGATGTGTGCGGGCTCCAGAGTGAGGGCGGGCACACACCAGACCTCTGTGTCTCTAGATGGTGAGGATGTAAAGGGTTCACCAGTGGTACTTTACTAATTAAACTATTACTTGGAACATAAAGAGCTAGCACCTCTTGTTTTACGTCTTCCATTCACTGGATTTCACTAGCTTTTAAAGACAATCTCTCTGTTCCTTTAGAAAAAAACAAAATCAAACCAAACCAACAAACAAAAGAACCTCAAGTCATGATCTTTTACTAACATAGCAAAGATCTCAGTGGGAGACGTGGGCAGAAAATCAGTGTTTTAAGAGACTCGGAAAGTCTCTCAGGCTCTGGACTCAACACAGGGCTCCCACGGTTTAGTCCAATGTTCAAACCCCAAGAGCCTTCCAAAAGCCCCGGGAACAAGTGAGCAACACGGTAAAGGCTGGATGCACGGAGCACAGATGCTCACGGGCACTGCTGCCTAGCCTCTGCTGTCCATGCACAGGGCGCGCTCTCAGCTTCCACTTCCCCAGCTCAGGATGGCCCCAGCATGCTGCTGGGCCAGGGCTGTGGCTTTCCCATCCCATGACACGGACTCTTACGTCCCCCAGTAATGAGGCGGGCTCGTCCAGAGAGACGAGCAGGAACAGGGTATGCAGGCTGACCATGCTTCCTGCCTGGTCAGCCTGCCGTCAACAGCAGTGTCCCACTAACCCTTCTGGACAAGGACATCCACGAGCTTGAAAGATGGGCTGCTTGGACTACAAGGAAATGTCAGAAGGAAAATCAGGTGACTTTTGCCTCTTTAGGGCCCACTTCCCCTCCTCTATTACACACACTGTTTCATTCCACCAGGGTTCTTACCATAGAGAGGACAGTAAATAAAGATTATCATGAATTTGATCAAATGCTTCAGTACCTCCTCCCCTGGCCTATGAATGCACTCATTACAAATCAGCTGAACGGCTCATTGACTTGCCAGGAGGACAAGCAGACATACCCAATCGCTCAGCCAAGTGGATGTAGACTGGGTCCACCCGACGCATGGTTTTCACCAGATCCTTTCTGCGGAATTTGATTTCTACTGTCCCTTCTGGCTCCAGGACGGATCCCCTGGATCAGAGAGAAAAGAAAGGAGACAAAACAAAAATACAGACACCTTAACGAAAGGAGACAACAGAAAGAGGCCGGTTACAATCTGTGGAACCAGGAAACAGCTTCGTTATGGTTCTGCCCACCCACAGTTCACAGAGGTAACCCCGGGGAGAGGAGCAGGCACCACAGAAACGTCTAAGTGGTCTGCGAGAGAGGCCTGGCAGAAAGCAAATAAAACAATTCTCATTATGACGTCAGTCTACTTCCATCTCAAAGGGAAAAGAATACAGGTTCCACCATCTACAGCTGATAAGGGTAAAAGAAGTCACATTTTCCAGAAAAAGAAAAAAAAAAAGGTTGATGTAGGCACAGTGACAGTTGAACAACCTCCATCACACATGCTGTGCAATGAGGGGAGTGGGTGCCGACCAGTCCCACAAACGCACGGTAGCCTGCTGTTTGTACTCGGGCTCACGGGGCCAGGCCAAGCGGGAGAGGAAACGATCAGCCTGATGCCATGGAAATGACAAAGTGAAGGGCTTCAGGGTCACTTCTAGTACCTACTGATGATGTTCCATTACCAGGAAGTTCACCCTAAACACCTTTAAGAAAACCTTCTACACATTAAAAAAATTACATACATATGTATATTATTTTATACATATATATATACACATGATTTTTAAATGTAGGTGGTTTTATTTTTTTTAAAATGTATATATATATATATAGATAGATAGATAGTGACTCCCTAGATGGCATCAGTGATAAAGAATCTGCCAATGCAGCAATACAAGAGACGTGGGTTCGATCCCTGGGTGGGGAACATTCCCTGGAGTAGGAAATGGTAACCCATGCCAGTATTCTTGCCTAGAAAATTCCATGGACAGAGGAGCCTGGCAGGCTACAGTCCATGGGGTCACAGAGTCCCACAGGACCGAGCGACTAACACAGTCACTGGTGGATATGTGTGTACACACACACACACACACACACACACACACACACACACAGAGCCAATTCTTACTCAGTGCATGGCACTGCTGGTAACTGCTGGCATACCAATCTTCATGACAGTCTCATGCCCAGTCTATGTCCACTCTGAGGTAAGGTACTATCATCCCCATTTCACAGAGGAGGAATCTAAGGTAGGGGATGTTAACAGACTTGTCCAAGGATAACCAGTGGTAGAGCTGGACCTGAAACCAGACAGTCTTGTTCTAAATTTTGCAGAGGAATCGTCTCCAATCTGATACCAGATCAGAGGCTAAGCTGGGACTCAAAAGTCAGTTCTTAAGTATAGAACGTTAGCATAGCGATTTGACAATAAAACCACTGGATTCTCAGGCAGCTTTTAAAGTAAGAGGCTGAAATTTTGGGGAAAAGGGAGACATAGGTGTTCTAACAAAATGACTGGCTATAGGGACTGGCATGGAAAATGTCATGGAAATATGATGTAAGATTTATGAAAGGGCTGAAAACAGATTATGAAAGGAAGTTGGATTTGGTCCATTTTGTTTCAGGTGCCAATGCCTAACGGAAGCTTTGGATTTTCACTTGCAGTTCTCTGTGTGCTGTGAACACTGTGCTCTCCAAGCTTCGAGTGAGGCACTGGCCGTGGGGGAGAAGCTTTGCTTGGAACCACAGAATGTGGGTGCCACGAAGCACCTCGATGGCCATCCAGCTCGTCCCACAGACAAGGGGAAGCAGCTCAGGGAGAGTGAGGACTGCTCCAAGGTCCCCTCTAGCCTGCGGCAGAGTCTGGTGAAGACTCCAGGACTGCAGACTAACAACTCAGTCCTTCTGCCCCACCTCGCTGAACGCTACCTCTGCCAGACACCTAAGAAAGAGATAGTGAGGGACTTCCCTGGCAGTCCAGTGGTTGAGAGTCCGCCTTCCAAAGCAGGTGGTGTGGGTTAGATTCCTAGTCGGGAAGCTAGGATTCCACACACCTCGTAGGCAAAAAACCAAAACATGAAACAGAAGCAATACTGTCACAAATTAAAAGGAGACTTTAAAAATGGTCCATATTAAGAAAAAAAATATATTAAAAAAAAATAAAACAAAGATACTGAATAGGTCTATCTGAACAACCAACAGGAGAGTGTCTCTCAAGTCTGGGGGTGCCCAGGTAGAGAATTTCATGGTAAAAGAACCTAGGGTGGGGGGGTTACACTGGGAAAGTCTGACTCCAGCCTGGTTCCATTCTCGTGCTGGCGGAGGCTACCTAGAAAGCCTAGCTTTGTGACCTTGGAGCCCTTTGGGGACAGTCTGAGGCAGATAAAGGCCTCTTGGTTAGACAGGCTCTTCAAGAGGAAACCCAACAGCTAGAGGCTCCCCATGGGCAGCGAAAAGAAGCGAGGAAGGAGCGCTACCTGCTCTCTCGGTCCGCGTACATCTCCATGTGCCGCGGGTTGATGGTGGGGTCAATCACCACCCAGGAGCCACCTCGGAGCTCGGCCTGTGGAGGAATGTAGACCATCACAGGCTGTGAGCACTCCCGTAAGCCATCCACAATGTAAGCACCAAACTTCAGCACTTGGTCATACATATCTGGGGAGAAAGAGACAAATCAGAGGCCATGAGGCGGTGCTTCCAAACACTGTTCCCATCACGGTACACAGAGAAATAAATAAAGCTGCTCGTGACCAGAGGTGATCGGTCTAGGGGTGCAGCCACCCCAGGTCCTGGAGACTAAAGTGGCTGGTGTCCCCAGCTGTGTCCTATTTAAGACCCCAGGTGATCTTCAAAAGCACGCCAGCTGTGCACTGCCTGGGTTTCCCTGGTGCTCTAGTGGTTAAGAATCCGCCTGCCAATGCAGAGGACACAGGTTCGACCCTGGTCCAGGAAGATCCCACATGCCACAGGGCGACTATGCCTGTGTGCCCCAACTGCTAAGCCTGTACACTTAGAGCCTGTGCTCCACAACAAGAGAAGTCAGCACAATGAGACGCCCACACACCACAATGAAGAGGAGCCCCTGCTTGCCGCAACTAGAGAAAGCCTGTACAGTAATGGAGACCCAGCACAGCCAAAACTAAAATAAATAAATCCTAAAAAAAAAAAAGTGCACTGTCTTTCATGAGATACAGGGTGCAGGCCCTGTGGACTGCATCTCCATTTTACATCTTCCCTGAATTTCTGTACTCAGGTTTCACCACATTAATTCACACTCGCTCTACCAGTGTTGAGTATTTTTCATGTCAATATGTGATCTCTCTCACTACATTAAGTTTTCTGAAGGAACTATTCAAGCTCTTTTCAATTCTTCTCATGATACTTAGCATATGATAAGCCCTCCAAATGCACAGCTAATGAAACTGGATCCTTCAAATATTTTATCTTCAAAAAACTGCATCTTTCATCTGTGCATCCCCAGGGTCCTGGCCGGTGCCTGAAACATGGTGCTCAGTAAAGTGTCTGCTGAATAAATGAATGAGTACATCATGCTTTGCAAAAAACATGGTGAGAAAGAAAAAATTAATTCTTTATCAGCTGCATTTTTATCAGGGTATCAATGAGAGAAAAAATTTTAAATGTGTATGTGTTTATTGGAAATATCACACAACCACAGGAAAAGAGGAACCACCTCTTTATTCTGCAAAAGAGCATGCTCTGTAACACCCCTCCCCTCCACCCCCCAGCCAAGGCCAGGAACAGCCTGAAGAAAACGGACCCCTGGTGTGAAAATAGAGTCAGTCCTTGGAAAGGGGGATCAGTTATTTATTTCCCAATAATTTATGGCTTTTCCCCATTTCCTAGCTCACTGAAGTCTAAACACTGCTAAAGTTTTAGGTTTATGATTCCAGATGTTTAATGAGTATTTCAGTGGAACCACAATGGATCCTTTGAAACACCAAATAGCAGGTTCAACTGAGTTCAAACTTTCCTATCAAAGAGAAGATCTCAATTTGGAATAAATCAGTCTAGAGAGCCAAAGTAAAGAAGGATTTTTTCAGGAACTTAAGAGCAAAGAGAAATGGCTTTCATTGTAGTTACTGGCAAATTAAACTGCTACCTTCTCCAAAGTAAAAACGGCCCTCTCTCTGTATGAATCATCAGTGAGCACAGGTCTCTCCAAGGAAACTGTGCAGGGAAGTACGCCTCTCTCCACTGCTCCAACCTGGCTGGCTGGTCTGTGAAGGAATCCCCCAAATTCAGAAGCTGCCCCAGGAAAAACTCCCAACTCTATGTGGAATGTGAATGGTCATAAACTCTGCATATGATCAGAACAAAGACATTTATTCCTTTGGGAGGAAAGCAAAGACCCAAAAAATTTACTGCTAATTACACAACTGCTGTGTGAAGAGCAGGGAATAAAGGACTTTAAGCGCTTTACGCTAATTCCGTGGTTATGAAAATAATTGCTCAGTTCAAATTATTTTAACTAAATTAATTCTTTAGTGGATATTTCAACCAGAGCTACATAATAAAATAATTGTGTAATTAGCAGTACATTTTTCAGTGCTGCCAAGAGTACAGTCTCAGAAACTGAGAAACAGAAAGGAGTGGTCCTGAGTGGTACCACACGCGGAGAAGAAATGGGAAGCGGAGATGAAATGACAAGGTGGAACGACAGGAAATGGCGCAAAACAGTCATTCCATGTGAAAAACAAAAAAGTAAGTTAAGAGGTAAATCACTGCGCTTCCAGCCTCTTCGCTCACTTCTGTTGGGTTTGGGTTTTTTAAGTCTTCACTGAATGTGGTACAACATGGCTTCTGTTGTTTATGTTCTGGTTTTCGGCCTGTGAGGCACATGGGATCTTAGTTCCGCAAACAGGGAGCGAACCTGCACCCTTTTGCGGGGGAAAGCAAACTACTAACCACTGGCCCACTGGAGAAGTTGGCTCCATTAAAGATATGTCTACATCAAAATCAAGCTCTGTGCTACAAAGAACAGACCCAGCTCCCAAAAAAGGAGAGGACTTTATTGAAAATGTACTTCCCATGTATAATTTAAAAAACCTTGATTTTGTGTATAAGCAAATTGTTTGAGATAAAGTTGAGTATGTGTGCATTTTGTTTTTGTGAAATGGACTTTGGTCCCTCTTTTTATCTTCACAGCTAGCTTACTGTATACCAGGGAGCATGACTGCATATACACACACATATAAATCAATCATCAGAAAACTCTTCTTGTACCCAAGTGACAGGTGAGTAAACTGAGGCTTAAGTAAGTAAGAGGCAGAGTTGAGACTTTGAACCCAGATCTTTCTGGCTCTCATAAGTCCACATTCTACTATTACATTCTTTTTTTTTTTTTTTAAGATTTTTTAAAAAGATTTTTTGACGTGGACTATTTTTTGAGTTTTTAATGAATGTGTTACAATATTGCTTCTATTTTATGTTTTGGATTTTTGGCCACGAGGCATGTGGGACCTTAGCTGCCCAACCAGTAAGGAAGCCACTCCGCCTGCCTTGGGAGACGGAGGCTTAACCACTGGACGCCAGGGAAGCCCCGTTAGCGCTGCACTCTTAGCCCACTGCTGCTGCCTCGAGAAAAGAGCCCGAGACCAGAATAATCTGCTCTCCTGCGTCCGACGCAGTAGCTGAGTCATGAATACATGAGTATTGCTGAATTTTGCCTGGACTTTTGGTTATGTTCAGAGATACCAGAACTTGTACTAGCAGCTCTGTGCAGGGCCTGGATCTGACTGCCAAACAATTATCTTCAGGCCTCTAAGACTGTGAGCAGAAAAGAAGCATCAAGCTTCACTGCACCTGACAAGTTCAGGACGGAAAACAATGCCCCCATCTAACCTGGACCATCAACAGCCCCCCGTACCCCCCCACCCCCGCCAGTCCAAACCATCAAAACATGCAGAAAGCAACAAAGGCTGTTAGAATATAATAAACACACGCACAAACTCTACACACAACATGCTTGTACTGGGTCCCAGCTGCCCCAAACCAGACATTTCTGTAAAGCAGGTTGAAGCACTTAGCAACAATCTGAATCACATTTGTTTGAAATCTCTTCATATTTCAGAGCCAGAAGCAGCAGGGGAAGGGGGATCCCGAGGGTTTCTGCTAGACATCAGTCTGGGGAACTGTAAAGCGATGCATATGCTGACTGTCAATTCTCGGGGCTGAGAAATACAACGGGAATGGAAAATACTGATAGGTTCGTCCTTGGAGAGGCGGGAGCCTGCAGATTTCTAAGTGTTCTGAGTAAAACCCATCTGCGTCAACGGTGATCACAAAGCCTTCCCAGGGTGTTCTGGGCACCCAGGCACCAACCCTGTCTGGGGCCTTCACTGTTACCCAACGTGGACACTCCGCAGCGGCCACATGTGCCAAACAAGGGAGCAGGGGATAGGGTGTTTCCGCAGCGCCCCACTCTCTCAAAACCCGAGACAGATCTCATTGGCTTGGGGCGAGATTATCTCAGGAGCTGAAGGTAAACATCAGGCGTACATGGGCCACATACACATCAAGTCACTTATGAGTTCATTATGGCCCGCTGACGCGGTATTTCAACATCCGAGTAATCAGAGACTTTAAAATAGACTTTCATTCCAGTTAAAGTTTTCAATAAATGTGTTTTTTTTTTTGTTATTTATAACCTGTCCTGGGAAAAAATAATAAGTATAACATGAAAAGCCGACTGAGAGTGACCCTGTAGCACCAGCAGTGAGGCAGCTTAATATCACTGGGATTTGCATCCTATCAAGCTATTCATGCTGAGGCTGGGACCCTGGTGCTAATTTCTAGTAAATTTCACGCTTGATGTCTCCCTGTTGTGGGTCATTGCCGGTTCGTCTAAATAAACTGCTTCCAAATGGCTCTTCCATCTAAATATTCAGCCAGTTTTTATAATTTAATTTTGCATTATGCTGAATAGCCTTCCGGCCAGATAGAGCTCATTGGGAAAAAAAGCACCAATACCATCTTGACATGCTTTTATTTATTTATTTATATTTTTACTGCTCGAATTAGACCTCCTAGGCCGACTAGTAAAGAGTTTTTTTTTTTTTCCCCTCCACTAATGTCAATTTTCAGCATAGCAAGAGCTGTCTCTAATCTTTTCCTACTCATTACACACAATTTTGGAGTCATTTTACCCACAGTGCAGTCGGCTCCTGGCTGTGTGTTTGTGTGCACTCAGGGATGGCATAATTGTTTATTTTCCCTCCCTGCATAATCCCCAGCCAGTATTGAAACCCAAACTGCAAACATCTCCCCAAGGGATATGGAATGACTCTCAGCTTTGGTCCCTTTACATGAGATAATATGTAGGAAACATCCTGACCTGTATGTAAATATGGGGGGGGGGGGGGAGAGGCTGTTCCTCCCCTCCCACTTCCACACTGTTCTCTATCTTCCCCAAAGCTTATTTGTCTTAAGCAATGTGTAAATGAAAGCAGCAGCACCACCACCACAGATTCAGAAAACACAGCTGATCTTGTTCAATGTCAGGCTAATAATTCATTTTTGATTAGGGATGGGGGTGGGGATGGGGAGTTACTATTCAATGGGTATAGACTTTTATGTCAGGGATGATGAAAAAGTTTGGGGTATAGAGAGGAGTGACGGTTACACAACACTGCGAGTGTATTTAATGCTGACAAATTATACATTTACAAATGGTTAATATGACAAACATTATGTGGTGCATATTTTACAATTAAAAAACCGTAATTCATTTCCTGAGTTCTTGCAGTTTCTTGTCACAATCATCCCAAAGCAGAGGGGAGGTAGGTGGACAATTATACTTTCTCAGGAACCCAGATAGTCTATTCTTGGGATAGTATAGTAGGTCTTATTCTGGCTAGTGGCTCTAAACTGTGCTGCAGGAAGTAAAATGGATCTGTGTTCTCATTTTTTAGCTAAACGATCTTAGGAAATTTACTTAACCTAAGTCTCAATTTATGTAAATTGTGGATAATAATACAACTCACCCCTTAGAGGGGCTTGTTGTGATGATTATGTAAGATAATGCATGTAAAATGGTGAGTGCGGTTGCTGGTGAAAAGAGCTCAATGAATCTTAATTGTTGTTGCTCTTATGGTTACAGGGCGAGCAGCCAATCTGGGCCGGAGCCAAATGTGCAGCAGAATTAAGCTTCCCCTACAAGCGGCACATCGCAATCTTCTGAGCCCTAAATTTGTTGGGACAAAGTAGCCAGGCTGACTTACTCCTAAGTAATGTCAGGATGAGTGAATTTTTCATGGTCTCCTAGAAAAGAGGTAGCTAAGGAGGAATAGCACTTGCATTCTCTTCTAAGTCTTAAAGTTTTTTTTTTTTTTTGCTCAGTCGTGTCCAACTCTTTGCGACCCCATGGACTGAAGCCTGCCAGGGTCCTTTGTCCATGGGATTTTCCAGGCAAGAATACTGGATGGGTTGCCATTTCCCAGTCCAGGGAATCTTCCCAACCCAGGGATCAAACCTGCATCTCTTGTATCTCCTGCATTGGCAGGTGGGTTTTTTACCACTAGTGCCACCTGGGAAGCACCTTTTAATGGAAATCTTAGAGCCAAGGGATCTGGGATCAAGGACAATCTGATGAATCTCAAACATACATACAGGAAAGGGATTTCAGAGACTTCCCTGGCAGTCCAATGGCTAAGACCCTGTGCTTCCAAAGCAGGGGACGTGGATATGATCCCTGGTCAGGGGACTGAGATCCCACATGCCGTGCGTCATGGCCACAGAAGTAAAAAGAAACAAAAAAATAAACGAAAGGGATTTCGGCTACCCACCCCCCATATAGTATCACTCTCCTTTGAATACTGCGACATCTTGTTTATACATCATGGGTTTAACTTTCTGCACAGGACATTTTTCTTGATTCCTTCAGGCAATGTCTTTCCTGACTTATTTTTGTTTTCTCTGAAGTAGCATAGCTCCCTGCACATAGGAACTCAATAAAAATGTGTAGGATTGACTTGTTTAACCTAGACTCTCAGTATCTCATGGTAGTTCCACTGATTTATTATCTTGGTCAAAAAATAATTCACCTTGAATAGGAACGTATACAAACACTAATTTGCATGTATAGTCCAAGTCTCCTCAAAGAAAGTGCAAAATGGGGTAGTTTTCTGGTAAATGTGGACAAAGGGGACTTTTCAACTAAAATAAAATAAACAAAAAAACCCCACAAAAATTGCCCTGGCCATCTACACTTGGGTAGGGAGGCTGGCCGTCAGTGCAGGGGTTTTCCTGGCCGAGGAAGGGAAAGTTGTCGGCAGAGGCTCTCACTCCCTCCACACACAGCTGATGACCTGTAACAGCACAACTTCTCCAGGCTTTTCTTCCCTTAAAGGCAAGAGACGCTCCCGCCCCAAGCTACTCTGGGTGCTTTATTGGGTTCCTTCCCTCACACATTCTCTGCCTTCCCTCGGATCACGCCATTCACTTCACAGGATCGGCTCCTCCCTCCCTCTCCTCCCCTAATCCACTCTCGAGCTCGCCCTGAGTCAGTCCTCTCTGGCTCCCACACGGCCGTGAACCTCTGGCCACTGGAGAGAAAGCTTCGCGATGCTGGGAGGGAGAGCGCGTTTGCCAGAACCGTCCACGGTGGCTCGGCACACGGAGGAGTCGTCTCGGTAATGGCAGTTCAGGCACAGAGCAGGGCCTCCCTAATCACGGTCTAACATGCTGGAGTCACAGGCCCGGGGCTGCTGTCGGATCATCATAAAACATACCACACAGACTGCCACCGACAACACCCTCTGGTATCGAATTTGTTCATTTTCTCCTGGTGAAGGCTAATTTCAGGATCTATCTTAGTCGGGGTAGAGCATTAAACAGTAACACCAACAAAGAGAATGGCCACAAAAAAGGCATAGGGACTCAGCACAACTCAGGACCATCATAAAGTCCATCGCTCACTAAACCTCCAACGGCGGTCCACCTAGATAACCCTAGTAGATGGTTCTGAAATTTTGTATGGAGCAGTTAAAACTTAATTTTCCCATTCAAGTTACAACTCGGAAGGTATCTCAGAGGGCATGTAACCCCCAAAGCCTAGGGTGATGTGCTCAGGACACCCGAGGCTCTGTGTGATATAAACCCTCCCCACCCTCTGCTGCAGGGCTCACGGGCATTGGTCACCCTCCAGCCCAGGGCCAGTCACCTTTCATCCCACCGGAGAAGCCTCTCCAGTTGGCAAAGACCATCAGAGGCAGCCCTTCACGGTTGAAGTCCTTGATGGCCTGATACGTCTTAAACGCGGAGTCTGGGAACCAAACCTGGCCCGCCTGCTGGATAATCTGTTGGGAAAAGCCAGAGAAAGACACGAATAACGACACAGCTTGAAGGGGGAATCTCTTCAAGAGGGGAGGGTTTTACTGTTAGAAACTAAAAAAAAAAAAAAAAAAAATTAAACCAAAGTTGTTCATCAAGATCAGCATCCTTGAAATAAAAAAGAAGGATCCTGGCTCTTGGACTTTGCTAAATACGCCTCTTTTTCAGCCTTGATTCTACTACCTGACCCTCCTTAGTCCCAAGGGGGGAACCTTACTGCTTCCAAGAGAAGGACGTGACCTGAGGCATTCTCGTTCAATGCTTCCCAGGGCCACTTGAAGTGACTTGACTACACAACTCCATCAATCCCACTGGTCAGAGTTTCCACGTGCGGTCACCTCTGTGCCTGGTCCAGCTTCCCTGTCCTCTGCTTAGTCAGCGGCACCCAAGGGGACCCCCACTGCATAACCTCCTCTTGTCCCTCCCCCGACCCCTAGTCAGGCTGTGAAAACCTAATCCATCCTTTCAGAAAGGATGGACTGCAGCATTCACATCTGGTATTGAGGGCAGGCGTCCTTATCAATTCCAGAAGCATCTCTACCACGCGTGTGCTCGGAGAACCTGGGACCAGTGAGCTTGCAGCATCATCTCAGCTGTCTTCCTGCAAGACCACGTTCTCCACGAAAGGAGACTGTTTTTTCTAGCATCTGTAAGACCACTGTGAAGACCTAAGAATTTAGCTTGTGCTGCATTCCGAGTATTCTTACAAGTAAGCACATGATGGTCTAGACTCATTCAAGGCTGCTGTCTGGCCTCTAAAATTGGTGGTTCGCAATGCTCCCAGTACATCCGCACTCTGCAGCGGGGAAAACAGAGCACCAAGCATGGGCACTCAGGAGTACTGGAGGTGACCTACCTTGGCTTCAGAATCCAGGTTTGCAGGATCAGCCGGGATACTCAGCTCCACTGTTCGGGTTTCTACGGCAACTACTCCCACAGGTATTCCTCCTAGCCTGATAAAAAATGACCTATGTGAGGACCCGGTGGACGTCATCATTACAGCGAGTCATTTGTTTTTCAATCCTACATCAACACCTTGGTGGAGGGGGAAGTGGAAACAAATATAGAGTCAGGGGGAAGTCAGACTCTTCCGGGGGTAAAATATTACTTTACAGATTTGGTAAATATGGTAAATGGGAAGAAAAGTGCCCTCAGTGTCAGTCTTATTCCCCAGCACAGGATAAATTTAAACCAAGGGTTGCACCAGGGAAGCATCTGTATTGAGACTCAACAGCCTAGTACGTATATGAGATCTTGTGCACAAGGGCATGTGTGCATATATGTGCACACGCGCACACACACACATATTCAATCATTGTGGTAGTCAGGTGAAATTTCTCAGTTCACAGCAGGTCTTTGGTAAAGATGGAGGGGAATGGTTGGATAGGTAGTGGTAACCTGAAACTTCTCTGTAACAGACTTGTAGTTTTCTATGGACTACTAATAATGGGGTTCCAGGTAAGACATGATGGGAAAGTAGGTCTCACCACTGGGAGTGTGGATGGGGAGTATGCAGATGGGTTGTGGGATGATGAAAGATATGCACCAAGTGCCGGGAGGTGGTTAAACAAGCCCTCAACTTCCTCTTCCATTGCAAAGAGCAAGGGGTCAGGGATAACCTTCAGAAGTAACCTTGGTCGAACAGGTGATCTATATTGGAAGAATATATTTAATCTCCATGCTCTGTTAATTTAAAAAAAGCTCTTCAAGGGCTCAAAGCCTCTGCATCTGTACTCTGTGACACCCTCCCACACGTGGTCCTCATAAAGATTTCCTAGTAAAAATCCGGAAGGCAGAGAGAGAGTGGGTGAGCGCAAGCGAGTCTGCAAGGTACAGAGTGAGTCCTCACTCTGGAAAATGTGATTCAGTCTTCACTGTCTGAGCTGCATTCCTTGGGGTTGGGGCTGGAGCGGGTTACAGGCTCTCATTCCCCACAGCATCTCCATAACAAACTTTTCCGTGGAGGATGGTCTTCGGTTGTCACACTGGCTACTGGAGATGGATTCCTGTCATCACAAGAGGCCTGACAGGGGCCAGAGTGGGGACCACCCACCCCCTTGTCACTTGCCTGCACTGAATCAGAATCAAAAGCCCTCTAGACAACCAGACAACGAGCGGAAGGTACACAGGAGGGTTTAGAAATATTTCTGTTCACAATGATTAACAATCCAACTGGAAACTTGTAATTGCAAAAGCCACCCTAAATCGGTAACTTATAACTTATATATTAGGGCCCATGTGACCTAATAAAGAACATCTTTATCCGAGTATTACAGTTATTTATTGAACTTGAAAACAGCTCAGAACAACTTCTGTTTTCTATTATACTTCATATAAATTTTATCAGGCTAGCACATGAAGATGCTACATCTTGTTTTATAGTGTGTCCCTGGACAAGGTGCCATGGAATAATAAAAGACAATTTACAGCCAATAGCACACATATTCCAAACATACATACCAAAGATGAGTTTTGGCAGCACTTACAGTAACAATCCCAGAAGAATACATTTATATTTATTTCTCGAAATACCATTGCTTTAGAAAGAAGCTGGCTCCATTTGTGTTTTATATACTTGTGAGCATGTGTATGTGGTTTGGAGTAAGAAGCCCAGAACTCATCAGATGGAAAGAAAGGGAGTCAGGGTGGGTGTTGCAATAAACAACGGCAGAGCTAACCGAAGTCAAATTTGACTGATCTTGCTCGTGGAACAAGCCCTGTTCTTCCCATCATAAGTGGAAAGCATTATTCTCTTGTTTCCCATGGGAGGATCTTAAAGACATTAACAAAGGTTTGGTTTATCTGAGGCTTAAAATCAGGCATGTTTTTTACAGAGGGGAAAATTGAAGCAGCGTATAGTTGAGAGATGCTTTCTCAAAAAGTTGATCCCAGTGTCCTTCAAAGACTGCCTATAACAAACCAATAGGTCCCAAGTAGAGGGACTCTCTCCCCAGTGGGACTTGTCTAGGCACAAAGAATAATCCTCCTTGGGACTTGGAAGCCTGTGGCAAGGCAGAAGTCTGGGACGCCAGAAGAAAATGGGAACTAGTCCCTGGGAGCCGTGGTCAGGGCCGACTCCAGGCTGACTCTTATTCAGACCCACAGGGAAAGAGCCCGTCTGTGGGATTTACCATCTGATGGCTCCGTGTCACTGGCAGCATGAGGTGTGCTGACCGGCTGGGCAGAGACAACCACAAAGCCTAGAATTATTTTCAAGGCTGGAATCTAAATCTCCCCCCGACGTGGCGTGCTTGAGAATCTGGAGCAGGTGCCACTTTTCAGCAAGATAAGGAAAACTGATTGCCCCCGAGAGGCAGGTGAGCTCCAGATGTGGGTCCCCGGGGCAGCGTGTCTCTGCGGCGCAGGGCCAGATTAAGATCAGCCTTGGCAGGTGCTCGTTACAGCGAGCGGCGCAGATTATTCTGTGCAGGGCTTGCTGTTGAGTGAAGCGCTTCTTAGAGTAGGTATTAAAAATTTAATAGAAACTTCGATTTCCCACTTGAAAAATAGAGGTATTCCTGCAAACTATTCCAGCTTATTTTACTCCTGTTTCAGGTCAACTCTTTTTTTTTTTTTTTTGTAATTCAAATCTGACGATAAGCCAGTCTAGTGCATTTATTACTAGAATAATCTCGATGCCCTGAAGGAACTTCTTCCGGTTACACCGATCTTTCAGGGGGGTCACAGAGAAGTAGATGAGTCTGATTAAATGGGAATCTACTCTGAAAAGAAAATGTTCTTTGGAGCTGGGGTAGGGGGCTGGTGTCGCTGGTGAGCTATGGCTATTGTGGTTGGGCTTTACAGCCCCCACAGAGCTTTGCTTTTGGCATTATGAAAAGGAAATGTTGTCAAAACCAGACTTCAGATTAAACGCGTCACTGGAGTTACATGCTGAATGACCACTGGGAACCAGGGCTCCAGTCAGGCTGCCCTGGGCATGACTACAATCCAGTATTCCTAGGACGTTTAGCCAAAGAGAGCATTAATGGTAAAAAACCCACAGAGCCCTTTGTTTTTGTTGTTGTTCAGTCACTAACTCCTGTCCAACTTTCTGCAACCCCATGGACCGTAGCTCACCAGGCTCCTCGGTCCTTCACTATCTTCTGGAGTGTGCTCAAATTCATGTCCACTGAGTCGGTGATGCTATCTAACCATCTCATCTTGTTTTTAGTTGCTTCCAAAACAAAAGAGGTCTTACCTGGCTCTGCCAACCACCACAGTCTGTGCCCATGGTTGCATGATCTCCGAGAAAGAGCCATAGTCAAAAAATCCACTCAACCACTGACCTTTCTGGGCTGCAGAAGGGAAAGCAAGGAAACAGAAAACAAAGATGATCAGTTCATTCAAAATACACCAGAACTGGTGAATGGAAGGTTGGATCTGAGGGGTTATTTGGGGGAGTCCGTTGTTGTTTTTAAACATATTATAGTAGATGGAAACATTAGGCAGCTCAATGTTCATCTGCCTACAGACCTCATCTCCTATTTCATTTGCTAGTCTGAATAAAAAGAATCATTTATCAGCGAAAGCATCATTTATTGTTAAACGATGGGGTTCAGCTAGCAGAGTTTGCGTGCTTTTAAATAAATAACCTGGCTTCTTTTGCAAAACACTACAAACATTTGTCAGAAGGCAGCCAAGTCATTAAAGATGTTTTCAAAATGTCTATTTCTACTTTAAAACTTAGCTTACAATTTTGTTTGATTCCACTGATTTTCTTTTGTTTGCTGTTGTTATATCATTATAGCACAAACTGTATTCATGTAATAGTCATGCTCTGCATTTGAAGGGGGGGAACAGGATTAAATTATTACAGGTAATATCTTAAAATCTGAATCCACTGATTTTCTTTCAATGGAAAGATGAAGATAGGCAAATAAGTATCAATATTAATGATCAGATGAGGGCCCCAATTTGGGGAAGAGCTTCTCTGCTAGAAAAGCAACAAGATACACTTGCTTTATTTACTGCTGACAAAGGATAATCTTACTAAAAGAAAGGGCCATGCCCATATACTCTTAAAAGGTATCAGAAATAGGAGGTTCTGAAACCTACACTTAATGTCATTAACCTCCCTTGTGCACGGAATTACTTCACTGGCAAGACACATGACTCTCAACATCTTACTTTAAGAGAAACAACTTCTGTCCCACAGGTATCCATGTTTGACCAAGGACCCATCAAAGCCTCTGCAAACAGCCTCAGCTGTTTCCTAGCTGCCCTCTCGGCTCACCATTTCTCAGTGAGTCTTCTAATTTGAACGTGGCCCTCCGCCCCCTAAAAACCCAAGTCCAAAACCAATTAAAAGTGGAGATCCAAGCAAGCTAACCTCTGCTGACTTAAACAGGATGGAGAGTGTTTTATCAAGACTAAACTTGTAATTACTGTGTTCTACATTCCTTGCCTCTATGGCCCCCGTGTAAAATGTGATCATCCATTTCAAAATTATCTCTCTATCGTGAGCCCAAAGCCGATCGTTTAGATTCTGGGCTCGTGTTGGGCGTCAGTTTGAAGAATATCGTGGCACTATCTCCTCTAATAAATGACTTTAACTTTTCACCTAGAAGATATCTGCTTTAACTTATCACAAGGAATCATCTGCTTTCTTTAACGCTTCTACTAAATTAAAATCTGAAGTCACTCGATTTGGGAGAGAGTGTTAGCTGCACAGAGACAGCAGGATGAATTACTAGGGAGTTGATGAAAAAATATTATCCAAAAACCAGAAAACTTAGTTTATCACAAATTCATTTTATTCTGTGGTTCTCATTAATAATAGCCAGGATAATGCCCATCTACATGTGCACACACACCTGTTCAACCCCTGAAAAAGGGCTCAGACTTTGATGAGGGTTCTAAACCAAACTTCTAAGTGCCTCTAAGGTTATCGAAGTTTTGTTAAAAAATAATTTAATTTGTTTATTTATTTTTGGCTGCGCTGGGTCTTCACTGTTGCGTGGGCCTTTCTCTGGTTGCAGAGCACGGGCTCTAGGACACGTGGGCTTCATTAGCTGCCACTCCCCGGGCCCTAGAGCTCAAGCTCAGCAGCTGTGGAGCACGGGCTTGGCTGTTCCGAGGCATGTGGGATCTTCCCAGACCAGGGATTGAACCCATGTCCCCTGCAGTGGAAGGCGAATTCTTTACCAGCGAGCCACCAGGGAAGCCCAGGATATTGAAATTTTAACTTTGTATGCCTGGATCATTTTATGGTTCTTACTTCAATAATAATGATTTGGAACCACAGACTTCATTTCAAAGTGGAAATATTTTTTTCTTTAAAACCCCTCCTGCCTAATATGTTGGTTGATGGAGGGGAGTCATTGGAGGGCTACAGGTATTAAAGGTGGGCTTTACTGGGTCCCTTCAAAGAGCAGGTCATGTTTGGTTCATCATCTAGGTAGAACTTAGAAGTCGCCTAACATGGCTCCCCATTATTCCCAGGAGAACACTCACTAGGCCTTGTTCTGATTTCTCCCAGAAAAGTCCTGCATTTTATGACTGATAGATATCTTAGGTCCATGGCTCTTATAGTAAGTTTTGAAATAAAGACGAGGTAGGGCAAAGATTATTATGGTGATTTGTCTATGCAGAAAAACTATTTAATTTTATTAAGACTAACAAGAAAGGGCATTGAAGACAACAGGTAAGGTTTTAAATTAAAGTCAGCCCTACTCTGGTGATTTTTCTATCTACAGTTAGGTTTCCGAATGAAGCCTAACTCCTAAGTATTAGCTGTGTGACCGTGCCCAAATCACTTAACTTCTCTGAGCTTGTAAAACGGTCATCTCATTTTATCTCTGAGAAACAGGAAGTCCAAATAAGATGGTATAGATGGAAGTGCTTTACAGTCCCACCTGGCTTAACAGGGGGTGCCCATAAAGGATTACTAAGCTTTCCTTATGAAGAATTCTTTTTTCTTTTTTAACTCTTTGTCTGCACACACAGTATGTGGGATCTTAGTTCACCAATAAGGGATCAAACTCATGTGCCCTGCATTGGAAGCACAAAGTCTTAGCCACTGGACTGCCAGGGAAGTCCCTAAATACCTCTTTCTCTTTCAGCAAAATCACAATGACTATTAAATTTAAGGAATTATCTTCTGCATTCTGTTCTTTTAAATACAGCCCTTTGTGGGGGTGGGGTGGAGGAGGAAACAGTTGCAAGAAACATGCAAAAAAGAACAAACATTTTCTCAAAAAGCCTAAAAACATAGATTCAAAATGTAGCAAGAGGATTTGGGGCTTCACAAAAGAACTTCCTGCTACAAAAGGTTTGTTAAAATTGCCAAGTGAACTGACAAACAAGAATGTACATTTGCCTTAGGTGAAGTTACCTCTTTTTTCCCCCTGTTGTTGCTTTTAAAGTTTGGTAAAATTAGCCCCAAGACAGAGGGATATATTAGATAAACATGGGGGGAGGGCTTGTTCTAACTCAATATAGTTATCAACTTAAAAGTTCTGTCTTCCAACCAGGGAAGGCAGCAACTTCCCTGGTGGTCTAGTGGGTATGAATCCGCCTGCTGATGCAGGGGACCTGGGTTCAATACATGGTCTGGGAAGATCCCACATGCTGCGGTGCAACTAAACCCGTGCACCAAAACCAACAGAGTCCACTTACTACAACGAGTGATCCTGTGCGCCACAGCTAGGACCCAACAGAGCTGAATAAATAAAGTTTCAAAAATGGCGATAAAATAAATTATACATCTCTGTGTACACAGACTAGATGGTCAAAGATGCTGGTCCTATAACTCTTGGACTTTATGGCTTATGTTTAACGGTTTTAAAGTTTTTTGAGGCCATTAAGTAATAAGGGCTCCAATAACAGAATAAAGAGAAGAAACGTACTAATGACTACAGGGCTTAGAACTGACTCAGCAGCTGATTTCATTCATTTTCCATTTGTTCTTGATGGATTTTCTACCTTTTCCTTCAGAGGGCTGCTGTTTTTCCAGATTTCCCTCATGCCCAGGCACTTCAGGGGCTGTGTTTTCTTTGTCATGTGCTATCGTGCAGGGATTGGTTAGTGACGGAAAGGAAGACTGGAAGCGTGAGGGCCAGGGTGCCACAGACCCTCCAACATGCACATACTTGGGTGAGGCCGGCCTGCCAGCATCCACCGAGGGTCATACGGCGCCTTCGTGGGCACAAACTCGATGACTCTGTCTATCGGATCCTTGGAATTCAGGAGAGGAACTGAACTGTATACACTCTAGAAGGCGATGGGAGGGAAGAGCACAGAGGTCAGTGAACAACTCTTAACTCAGCAACAACCGTGGCGGACAAAGCAAGCAGGACCCACACACGGAAGCATGCCCGTTAGTCCCATCCAGCAGCAGTGCAATCGGGAGCCAGGCCCTGAGGAACAGGTACAGCTCGCAAGTCTCACGTGGGAGCCTGCTAGACAGTGGGGCGATTGTGGATTCTTGATTTCAGTGCACCAGGGCTCTCCGGGAAGTCCCCCAGAGGGGTGGACACCGATGACAAAGGGGAAAGCCCCACAATGAGGAAGAAGCCTTGAGAAGCTGGGGTCTGAGCCCAAACAGGACTCAAGGCTTCCCTGGCTGGAAATCATCAGAAGGGGGCCTGACCCCTGAAATCCAAGGGCATTTTAAACAAAGGTAGGCGGCAAAAGATGGCTTTAAGGGAAAAAAAAAGAAACCAACAGCTTCTAGAGAATATTTTGTAAGAAAAAAAATCCTTCTCCCATAAATGAGTCTCAGACGCTGAGGCAGTGAGCTGTGGCGAAAAGGCCGGGTCCTTCGGGCTTTTGGGTGCCGGCAGCAAGCGGGGAGGACTCACCTTCGGCATGTAAGACAGCCAGTGCAGGACAGTGAACACCCCCTCAAAGTCATCACAGACGGTGCTGTGCGTCACCCCATTGTTGTGCATAATCTGGATGCCCCCCAGCTGGTTGTTCGAGGTGTATACTTCCCTCCCGAGGACCTAGAGAGACAGGCCAGAGAGAAGACGTTCATCCCATCAGAGGGAAAGGCAAGGTCTGTCTCGTAACCGCCACTAAAATGGATTCTTTTTTCTGCAGGACAGAGAGTCCGGCCTCCGTGGGCTGTGCCGAGGGACTGTCTGGACCTTTGTCCTAAAAAGAACACTCAGGGCGTTTCAGACAATCACATATTCTGTGGCAATGTAAACACCAGCAAGCCCCTCTCTGTCAGCTGCCACAGATGCGTGGTGGCAGGCTGGACCCTCGAGGTGGGTAAAGCTGGGGCCCTGAGACGCAGGCCATGCCACGCTGCTGCCCACAGACACAGAAGGGGGGTGCCTGCTTCTGACGACCTCAAGCGACGAGTCTCAGTTAAACAGGAGCACTGAGAGCTTTGGACTCCTCGTTTTTTCCAAGGGTTACTTTTCCCCTTTACACTTGATGTTTCACGTGAAATCCTGAAGTGACTCATGACACGTACATGAAGCCTTGAGCCTAAAGTCCTCTTTGTGTGCTGGGCACAGGGCAGTGATTTATGCCCAAACCCGCTTCTCCTGGGTCCTTTTCTCCCCAGGTTCCAGGGACTTCAGGGCCTTAATTCCCTGGTCTGTCCACAAGAGGAGTTTAACTCTTGTGAGGGTGAAAAGCACCTGCAATTGGAAACCATAAAGTTTCCTTTAAAAAATAAAAAAGAAAAAAAGAAAAAAAAAGAGAAAGAGAGAGAACACTTTTCGACTCAGAAATTGTAGGGTTTCTTTCCCCTTGAAGATTGGTTAACAATTTCTTTTGGGGAGGGAGGTTTTCTGACCCAGCAGATGGAAGCTGGGCAGCCTGATCATGGACTCCTGCAAACTGCTGAGTGTGTAGTAATTGCCAGTCATCTACAGTAGCCCTGGAGAGCTCTTAACAGTTGTGGAGCTGCTTACGGTATGTTACCTTTTCTTTTCCCTTTCTTCTCCTCCTCCTCTGGAAAATAACCACAACACAAAATTTCTTCCTTACTTTTATTCATTTCCAGCCTCTGGGGGAAAACCTAATAAGGGAGAGACCAGCAAATTCTACCTGTATATTCCCATTTTGCCCCTTCCTGTTCAGAGCTGTGAGCAGCTCCCCTACAGGCTGGGTCAGCCCTGGGATCAAGACCTGCCAAAGGCTGAGGAAGCGGGCAGCCAGAGCCATCACCTCTCTGGGACCCAGCTGGCCTGGGTTTCATTTAGCTTCAGCTACAAAGGGGAGAGGGGCTGGCTTCCCAGGGGGCTCACTGGTAAAGAATCCGCCTGACAATGCAGCAGACGCCGGTTCGATCCCTGGGTGGGGAAGAGCCCCTCAAGAAAGAAATCACAATCCACTCCAGCATTCTTGCCTGGAAAATTCCACAGACAGAGGAGCCTGGAGGGCTACAGTCCATGGGGTCACAAAAGAATCAGACACTCACTTAGCAACCACACAGCAAGAGGAAAGGTGGAAGAGACTCTTCTGAAAGGAATATGGGAGGCAAAATGGCTCTCGGATTTCTGCTTTCCTTACTAGGGAAGCACAGAGACAAGCCTTTGCTCAGCCTCTGAGCTGAGCGATGTGCCCCGCAGCGCCTTTGAAGGAGCCCCTGGAAGTGGGGAGGCCGAATCTGACCACTGGGCTCCCGTCCTCCGCCCAGTCTCTTTCATCTCAGCCCAGGCGCTGCGGCTCTTTTCTCATTCTCCTGCTGTCTCTTTCCATTTGCCCTCTCCCTGACTGATACACTGATCTCTCGGTCACTCGGCTTTCTGCTCCACTGCGTCCATATTACTAATAACACCTCCGCCACGGCCAGTTTACCTCATGAAGGCAGGAGCACATCATTACAAAATAAACTCATAACTTTGACATTCTAGCAAATACACGCCGTTTGTTATTTTTATGGCTTTAGTCTTTCTAACAGGCAGAGGGCATTACATACCTGTTTCCTTTCTATCTTTAAATGTGTGCACACATGCACACTCGCACATGCATCAGGAAACAAGATAGAGCAAAAAAATAAATAAATAAACCCAACCCCCAGCAAATGTCCAGAGCAGTCAGATGACGGGGGACCCTGGTGGAGGCAGAAGCCCTGTCACTCAGGGAGGCCGCACTCCGATCTGGCTCTGGTTTTATGGACGTCATAAACCCGATGGCCCACAGCTGGTCCTTCTGGGACAGACTGCCTCTCTGCCAGAAGTCGTTCGGTGTGATCAGCAGTATTTTTAATTATTAAAATAAAATTGGAAAGGGGGAAAAGAAATAAAAAGGAGACACTGCACTGACCCTGAATATCTGATACCCAGAGAGTATGTCAGGGGCCCAGAATGCCTTGCTGCCTAGAAGCAAGAAAATAGCTAGGGTTATTTTGTACTCAGAAATGCTATTTTCTTTCCCATGAAACCCTGTCTCTAGGACTTGATAACATCCAACCACTTAGAACCTCACGCCTCTGCCAAATCAGTAATGGACCCATTGAGAACCAATCTCAGAAAAAGGGACTGAAACCGACCAAGAGATGCTTAGCTGTTCAAATATACCTTCCTCAGACATCTTTGCCCCCTCATTTCAAAGAGGAAGAGAGCCTCCAGAACTGGGTTCCTCCTGGAGGCTTCCTTGTCCACCCATTCCACCCCATATTCTTACATCTAACGGGAGTCAGATCTGGAAGGAGTAAGAGTTAATCACTTAGCATGTCTTCCCTTTACTAGTGGAAACTCAGGTTCTGACATCTTGGCATTGTTCTGAAAAGGCAGCAGTATTTCTACATTTCTTCTCCTCTGAGGAGGAAAACCAGGGCTTACTACAGCCAAGAACATTACCCTGGGCTAAAGAAATGTTTGCCATCTGAGAGGATTCATTACATTTGGGAACTAAAGATAAAAATTACATGGCAGGCAGAGTATCCGAAGAGCTCTCTCTGGTCAGCCTTATCGCAGGAGGTGGGCAGCAGGGGGTGGGGGCAGGTGCAGAGGGGAAGGACACACAACAAATGAAGCCTGCTTCACTAACCACAAACAAATGCCAACAATCATGGCTACTCAACAATTGGGGAAGAGAAAGCAGGAGCCTCCAGTTCATCTTCAACGACCATGTGTTTGCAGCACGTACCAGGAGAATGAGGGCGCACACAACAGCTCCTGATTTATAGGGGTCGTGGCTGACTCAAGTGGTTTTAATGATTTTAGAATACTTCACAACAAAAGCTTCAACTGCAGAAGCTGAATCTGGGCAAAGACAAAACCCATTCTGCTCAACTCTGAAATGATGGCACTGGAACAGTTACGTTAACCCTGATGAGCATCAGGAAGGCAGAGAAAAGAACCCACCTAGACAGAACCACTGCTATAGTCTTCAATCTGTTGCCCTACCAGCCTTCTATGGCAAAACCTGGGGTATACAACCCTCATCAACATAACATTTTCGTGAAGTAGGTGAGCTTCATTCATATAGTTTTATTCAACCTGGACACACCCATTTGTGTATAGGTCATGCTGCTTGCCACATTCCATTTTTGAAATTATTCCTTGCACATTTTATGCTACATGATACAAACTCTTGGTTTATCTGCCAACAGCATCAATAACCACTTAACATAGGAACCACTCAAAACAGGGGATGCTGCTGAGGCCCTACTTGGCTGCCTGCTCCCAAGTCTAAGTGGAGAGGCAGTGCCACGAAATACTAGAACAGGCACCATCTCAGGTCCCCTGCTGAAGAGTGCCGATGCCTACAGAGCTGAATGAGGGCTCAGCCTGAAAGAGGATCTCTGTTCACTCTCCACATAAAATTAAGCCTCATCTAGCACTCAGTCATTCCAGCTGGCAGACCTGGGAATTAAGGGCACTGCCTCTAGCCAGTGATTAGCAGAACACCAATGTTTGAGGCTCCGTGAAAGATGCTAGAGAGCCTTTAGAAATTTTTGAGATGCACAGGCAGTACAAATGAATGCAGTCATACATATACACATAGAGAGAGGCCTGAGCCACTGCTGCTGTTGCCGCTTATCTAGAGACGCTGCAGACAGCTCAGGTTTACCCCAGCTGACAGGCAATGAAAACAGTCTAATATACCGCCTGCTCTCGCCCTTAAATCCCTTTTTGGAGATCAAGATAAACTCGTGTCTTCCCTTCCCCAGTGCTCCAGACGTTTGAGTGAAGTGGCAGAGTATTGTGAGGTTTTGTGCAAATGAAATCACTGTGTAATACTGAATGAGTGTAGTATTTACTTGTCAGGATATTTGTCAGCACACAGGCTTTGAGCCTTCCGAGTTTCATAGATGCAACTTTAGCTCAATTTTTTTTCAAAAAAATTGCTTTTGTCCTGATATATACATATTATATCAGGGCCCCTCAGACTTATAAGCAAATATTTGCAATTGTGTGCTGCAGATGTGAAAAATAATGATGCATATCGATGCATAAAAAAATAAAAATTCTGCTGCTGTTTTCTTCCACTTTACCCAACGTTTTCCCCTCTAAACATTCCTGGTGGATCTAAGAATTCAGCTATGCACATGGAGTCCTTGCTGCCATCCTCTTTCTCATTAGGGTATTTCCACTCTCAAGAGGATTTCAGGAGGGGTTTTGTAAATTTCCTAAGCAACTGTCATCATTGGATTTCCTCCATGATTTTAGACATTAAAGTCACTCTGGGATCTGTCGGGTTATTGATAAAGGTTTGGTTAAGGCAGAAAGGGAGAGAGAGATGAGAAAGAAAAAGTGGGAAGAAGGAAGAAGTATTAAAATAGGGACAAAGGAAAGGAGAAAGGTTGAGAGAGAAGAGAAGGGAGGGGGAGTGAAAAGAGGAAGGGGAAGAAAAAAATGTAATAGCTCATCTACTCCTGGTGCTAACACCCTCCTCCTTGACCTGAGAGGACTACATTTTTAAAAGCTGACAAGTAATTCAATCTCCAATTAACAATTTTAAGTGGTGCAGCACATATTACTGTGTAAATGTTTCTCCAGGAATACATCCAAGGGTGACTGGAATTAAATCTCTAGGG